CCCCCGCTGCGGGGCAGGCAGCGCCACCCCGCGGCCCGCACGGGAAGGGACGGGCGGACCCGCCGCCCCTAGAGCGCCCACCCGCGGCAAACCCCCTTTCGTTCCTTCCGCCTCGCCCACGCACTGCGCGCCCTGCTCAAGCACAGCCCGTATTCGCATCATTTCTCAGCGCTAAACAAGCAACGGATTGGCCTGTGCAGCTTGCTTTGAGGAAGAACATTATTCTTCATCAGGGGGGCTTGAGGCGGAGCAACCTTGCCCTAGAGAGCCGGTTACCCACCTCCACCAGTGCTTTGGCAGGGTGCTAGCGGGGGACACCTCTGCAGGCAACACACCGTAGGCAAATAATCACAATTTTCTCTTCCTGTTTGGCGTGTCAGTGAACAGCATCTGGACGGGGCCGAGGTTGTTGCTAAGTAATTAATAGGCATGTCTACATCATGTCCTACACAATGCGGAGCAGTGTTCAGGAGTCGGGTGGAAGCGTCCCACAGGCTGATGGTTGGACAACTTTACCCTGCACAGGAAATTGGAATAACGAAAGTGAAAGCATCCAAATCTCTTAAAACCTATTTTAGTGCCTTAGCCAAAAGCCAAGCTTCTTATTTAATAATGTAAGAGCTTTCAAATATTCTTTTAGCACGGTCCACATCCCATTTATATTTCAGTGGAAACATTTTGAGGAGTTGAAAGTGCTAAATAGCTACTTTATTAAACAAAAAAAATCACACACACACCCCGACCTGTAACTCTTATTATTTAGCTATTCACATTAGACTTTTGGCTGACTGCTACTAGAACAGCTTCAACCATAGCAGGCGCAGACAGGCTGGTTGCCTGAATTACTACATGCTGGTTTTTCCCCAATAGAAGTTGCAAATACTAAAAGCAAGACACCGCATCTATACATACTTAATAGAAAATTTACAACTCTTCAGATGCACTGTTTCCTTAAGACCCGTTAACAACATTTGTTTATCTGTCAAAACCAAACTGCTAGAAATTACAGTATGCTTTGATCATTAGAGTAATTTCCTAGACAAAGGAGGAACAAACATGTAACTCAGACAAAATTATAATACACAAAATTATCATTGTAATAATTTAAGATATAGCAGCCCTCAGTTATCATAAACCATTAGTGGCAAAGTGAATTTTAGATATAAACTAAGATATGGATGGAGCTACGTAGCGTGCAGCGGGAGTGGCTGTACAGGAAGGCTCTTGCTGTCTCTAGTTGCTTCAGGTATTTCACCATGATGCCATGTAAGACTTCATGAACTTCTCCAATAGTTAACTCCCGAGTTCTGTAAAAGATTACTATCCAAAATAAGACGTGACTAAGACTTAGCTTCATGAGGTCAAACTCAGAACAATGATTCTGCAGTGGTATTTCATTTGCTGTTTCCATTTAAGAGCTGAAACAGGGCCTGGCCAAAAGCTTTTGTCACTCGGTTTAAGAAAAGGTATCATCTCATGGCTTCTTACAAGCCTTCCCTTGTCTATATTTTTATACTTTCCCTTTGTTTACATTCTTGGTATCACGGGTAGAACAAAATTTTAGCTGTTATCATGCATTCCCTTCTAGTTTTTGCTGGCCTCTATTTGTAAGTTTTCATGTGAATAAAAAGTATAAATACATATAGAAGTAAAATAAGAATGAAGTACTTAGCAAGACTGATACTCTCTGCTCATTTTGTTAAACAAACAATAACCAATAACTTAATTCCACTTGACACTTAACAGAAATAATCTTTTGGCGGGAGAAATTTTAGAGAATAGAGACACAATCTTTGAGAAAGAAGGCACTGAAAGAGAGGATTCTCACCTACTGGTGAGAACTCCTAATTACTAGGGAAACATTAGTTCCGGAAGATTTTCACCTAGCCATTTCAAATGTTTCAGTTTTGGTAAAATGTGATGATCTTCCTCGGTTGAGAAAGGATGTCAGTTGTTTAAGAAAAAGAATAAAAATATTTCTGCATGTATTTTAAGTATTGTAACGTTTAGAACAACTGAGACTGACTGCTTTCTCCCGCAAGAAGCATATCAGTGCAGGATACAGACTTCAAAGTTGGGAATCTATTAACTGAGAATGCTTTGCTACAAATTGCAATACAGTCTCATGAAACAGTAGGGCTCCACACATGGAATTTGCCCTTACAAAGCTCTGTGAACTCTGTCTTATTTTGCAGAAGGAAGCAATCTGTTCATATAAATATTTGGCAGGGTTTGGACAAGAGTATCTTCTAGAAAAAGCATCCTCTGTGATGTCAGTTGCTGGAATAAAAAGGAGTATAGGCCTATGTGGGACAGCTGGATTCTGAAAAGCCAAGACTGTTCAGCATTTGAGCCTATCTTGCTTTCTTCCACCCTCTATCTTTCTCCTACAGCTGCCATCTCTACCGTTCTATCCCACCTCTCTCAGCAGGACACTTTCTATCAGGTAGCAGCAAATGTTGTGTTGGCTGCTGGCTGGCCAATTTCCATCAGCTTCAGTAGGGAGTGACTGTACAGACTGTTTATATCCACTGAATAACACCAAAGAATTGGATAGAAATCTTCTGCGCATCTCACCTTCCCCCCTCCATCCCCCGCCTTGAAATTTCAATTTAAAGCAATCCTTTATTTGTATCTAAAAATTAGATCTGGTCTAATAAATACATTTATTTAAAACAAACAGCAGAAACGTCATACTTCTTTTTAAAACACTTTTCCTTATTTTTCAGACAGCCACAGAAAACATCAAACATTTCAAAAAGTCAACCTCATATTAATAGAAAAGCAACTAAGAGCTGGTTACATGATGGCTATGTTATACTAAAACAATAAAGCAGTGAAAATGCCAGATATGCCAGATATACCAACTTACCTAATTTCATTAGAAATTAAGAAACATTGTATGTAAAATTAGTTATATATTAGCATACTACTGTATTAATAGTATACATGTTACATTATACTTATCTATATATACACCATATATATTATCAACACACTATACAATGTATCTTGTATATATAAATAGATAGGATATATAGAATATATTTATAAATAATATATTTTATATAGAAGTGTATAAATATAATATGCATATATTTAATACATAATACAAATTAAATAGTATATTCTATGTATGCTTACTATGTATATTACATTAATATAATTGTCTGTTATGTTAGCAAGGTACTCATTTGTATACTGGGTATGAGTATCTTTTGATAAGCTTAATGCAAACTAGGAACAGGAGCAGCAACGGGTCTGAACAAAAATGAGATAAATGGAGAATCTACCTGACAAGAGAGGATTAAACCAGCCGAGTTGCTTATTCTTTCAAAATTAATGCTGAAAGGTAATGCAATTGTTCTTTATATAATCAGTCAGAGAGTTAAAAGATCAAGAACAGAAAGTAAGTCTGAAACTAAATAACAATGATAGTGCTACAATAAAAAAAGTGTCACCACCCTCTAATAAATCCAGGCTGATAACTAGCATAAATTTTCTAATCACTGGAGAAATAAGGTTTTGAATGGAGTTTTCCAACAAGAGTAGTGGGGAGTGAAGTCCTAATAAGTTTTGAGGAGCTTGGTGAGCTTATAAAAAGGATTTTGTGTCATCACTGCCACTGGAAGCAGGGGGACTCAGTGGTCAGACACATACATACCAATGTCTGTATCGGTACAGAATCTTTTACAAAGTGGTTTACATACAGCAGTTGAAACACTGCGTAGCGAAGTTCATAGTTAAAACTGAATTGTAAATCAGCTCTTAGATGTATTACAGGCTTCGTGTTACCTATGATCTTTATTAATCTAGGATAATTTGGCTTTTTTTCAATGTGATCATGAAACCAGCAAATAACCTATTAGCAAATACTTGTTGTTTTCCGGTAATGATCATCATTCTGAGGACATGATCTTGCTCCATTTACTTCTCATGATACACCAGCATGGACGGAAACACACTGCTACAGAACACATTTGTATAATGTATATGCATTCAGCAGCTCCTAAAACAAACAGATACCCAAAAATTCAAATTGGATTGTTGCTGTCTTGACATACACTGCAACTACACCTTTTACATCTGTGACTGTCCAGCGATACGCACTATCATGCATGCACAGAATATTGTGAATTTTATCAAGAATTGCAACCAGAATATTTCAACAAATTGTAGAATCACCACAATGTCACAATAATCTTGCCACTCCTTGTGTAACTTACTTTGTGAGACCAATTTTCCTACTTAAGAAAAAAGTGATTACATTTTCAGTCACTGCACCTCAACAGAAACTATGGATCAGCAAATATTGGTCTGAGCTAGTCAGTCTGACATGCCATGCAGCTAGTCCTCCCACCAGTCCTCTAATGGACACGAAGTGATTACTGTGAACTACATTTTTGTAGTGTTAACATTCAAATTGGCACATCTATAGCTCCAGGAAAACGAACCTATTGCTCTGAAACAATTCCTTACTTTTTGACAGTTCAGCTTGATTCTGAATGTCTCAGAAGCTACCTTCTGAGGCAAGCTTGTTTTGCAAAAGATACAACATTAGGATGTAAATAACAGTTCAAACTTTGCTATACATTCCCACATTGCTCTATGTAGCAGTAAATGACTTTATAGACTGTCATATTTTAAAATTTGGTATGGCTTAAAAGAGTGCAATTATACATAGAATTTGTTGTATTACTGAAAATCTGTGAGACACTGATTTAGTAAATTGCTGATGAATGAGTTCCAGGGATGAGAACTCAGTAGAAAACTGTGCATTTCCAACTTTCTCCTTACCTGTTTATTCTGTTTTCATTTTCAGTTTGCACCTTAATTTTTATACTAGAAACTGAACTTTTGCTATACAGTATGCCTCATTCATTCCAAATGTAACAATCTCTCTTGAGTCAGGATCTCCCTCTAAGCAACTGGTTCACAACACCTCCCCACTGACAGTCTTAATCTAATGTATATTAATATTTTGGTAGCCTTTTAGATCATCATTGCACAACACTCAGAAATCTGGCACTGAGTTGCCTATAATGATGCTCAGTGTTTTTCTTCTCTAGTCAGTTACAGTTAACTTAGAACTCACAACAGGCCTCCTTCAGCAAAAGATCTTCTTTTTCATCAAGTCATTAAGACCACAAAATCTCTCCTGCACTTTGACACACTCAAGCTAAAATCCAGATGTTTGGCAGGTATGCACATGAACTGTACCTCTGCTGAATTTCATCATCCTGAAACAGACACCAGCTCTTCAGGAGACAAATGTGACAGCTCCCTCCCTTCCATTTCCCTTATCCAAGATGGCTATAGAGCAGGCTGTTTCTGCCCTCAGCTATGATGGCTGTCATAAAATTTTTATGGACTTCCTGCCCAGAAAAAGGATGGCCACCTAAGTGGCATCTTGCTGCCCTTATCTAACATGGCTGCCAAAGCTCACTGCCTCTTTTGGTTGTGTGGCAAACAGTGGTTCGCAGAAACGAAGCATGAGCTTACACGTCCTCCTTACTCCTGCTGAGCACAGTACAGCGGCTGAGCATTTTATACTGAACTCTTTTCATCCACCTGTTGCTTTCCACAGTTCCAAGATGGACACTTTCTGGTAAGCATCAAATACCTCATAAAATACCCACACAATAATTGTATCCTCATTTCAGAATGCAACCATTTTCTGTATTTTTAACTTAGTCTAGGAGTCTGCCTGCTAACTTTTGAACCCATTAGGCAATTTGAAATAGTAAAAAAGTCTGAGAGATAATTAAAACCATCCAACTTCTCTGAAAGCTGGCACTCATGCAGAAAAGGAAGGCTCAAATTAATGCCCTTGATGAAAATTAGGTAGAACTCTGTTGTTACATGCCCACTTGGCAGCGCCAGAAAGTGTTAGAAAGGCAGCTGGCACATACCATTGCTTCCCCCACGGGACTGTCAAAATGGGATTTCTCCAGGGGACAGAGAAGGGTTCAAGATACCATAGTATGGCAGTGGCTTACAGTTTAAAGGACAGAGATACTTAGGGCGTTAGTTCATTCTACTGGTTGCAGGAAGACTTGAGAAAGATACTGTACAGACAATACAGTATGAAATTTGTTTGGATCTCAATATTTAAAAATTATAAATACTTACAGAGAACATCAGAAAAAGATATCCACTGCTCAGCTTATCATTTTTACTTGATTCTCTTAGGCACTATAGATGGTAATGGTTCTTCTTCATCTTTGGTTTTACTTTCAGACTCCTTTCTCCATTAAACATGCATACAAAAATACAAAAATGTTCTCATAAACATTCTTTCCATTCCAACACCTGTAGTACCCTTTGTTCCAATTTTTACGCCTTTGCAAGTCCAAAATGTTCTCAATTACTTCTACTTTTGCAACTCTTTCC